TGGAAGACAGCTTTTGGCACACAGTTGGGACTCTATGAGTACCTAGTGATGCCCTTTGGCCTAGCCAATGCTCTGGCTCACTTCCAGTCATTCATCAATGACATCTTCCGAGACATCATTGGGATATATGTGGTAGTATACCTAGATGACTTCCTGATCTTCAGTGACACTGAAGAAGCACATGTGAAGCATGTCACTGAGGTCCTCACTCGCTTAAGGAGCAACAGGCTCTTTGCTAAGCTGTCAAAGTGTGAGTTCCACACCAAGACAGTTGAGTTCCTGGGGTACATCATCAAGCCAACGGGCATAGAGATGGACCCAGAAAAGGTGCGCACTGTCAAGGAGTGGCCAATGCCGGAGTCAATCCATGACATCCAGAGGTTCCTGGGTTTTGCCAACTTCTATCGAAGGTTCATAGCCCACTTTGCTCGCATAGCCAAGCCCTTGACAGCACTGGTAAAGCCTATAGAACGGTTCAAGAAGTTCGAGCTACCAGAGGAGGCCCAACAGGCCTTCCACAAGCTCATCCAGGCCTTCACATCAGCAGGAGTGCTTCAGCACTTCGACTACCACCTTCCAACAAGGTTGGAGACTGATGCAAGTGACTTTGCTATAGCAGGAGTACTCAAGCAGGAGCATGAAGGACGATGGCATCCAGTGGCCTTCTACTCTAGGAAGATGTCTTCTGCTGAGAAGAACTATGAAATCCATGACAAGGAGCTCCTAGCTGTGGTCGCCTGCCTTACTCAGTGGCGACACATGCTAGCTGGACTACCCAGTCAACTGGTCATCCTCACTGACCATGAAGCCCTCAAGTACTTCAAGTCACAGAGATGCATCACAGGTCGACAGGCTCGATGGGCCATACTACTAGCAGACTTCGACTTCATATTGCAGTATCGACCAGGAGACAAAGGTGGTGAACCCGATGCTCTCACCAGAAGGACAGACATGCAACCAGCTGGTGAAGAGCAGGATCACAATGTGAGGCAACTACTGCCTCCTCGAGTGTTCAAGGAGACAGCAGACCATGACTCAACCCTAGTGGCCCCTATGCTCTCGATGGAGTCCATAGCATCAAAAGGTCTCAAAGACCTGGTCAAGATCTTCCAGCCCTTAGACCAAGAGCTACAGGAGATACATAGGAAGAAGCCCTTCGAACTCAAGGACGACCTATGGTACAGTGGAGGAAGGTTGGTTATCCCCAAAGTGATCATGCCAGGGAGGACCAACAACCGACACTCAAGGAGTGCCAAAGAGGTAGATGGACAGTCTCTCTCTGTAGAGCATCTGCGATTCATGGTGATGACCCAATGCCATGATGGTATCACTGCTGGACACGTAGGAAGAGATGCTACCATCAAGGCAGCTCAACGTCATTACTGGTGGCCAAACATGACAGCTTGGATTGCAGACTATGTAGCAAGTTGTCCTGTATGTGCTAGGTACAAAGCTCCTCGTCATCGTCCATATGGTTTGCTACAGCCACTAGCAACACCAGACAGGCCCTGGGGCTCCATATCCCTCGACTTCATCGAAGGACTACCACCATTGAGGAAGTATGACTCTAAGACCTATGACTCTATCTTAGTCATTGTCGACAGGTTAACCAAGTTTGCCATACTAGCTCCAACCCATAAGACAGTCACGGCCAAACAGACTGCAGTATTGCTATATGGACACATGGTTAGACTCTTTGGATATCCAGATCACATGGTCTCGGACCGAGGCAGGCAGTTCATATCAGGAGCATGGAAGGCATTTGCAGAGCAAATGGGTGTGAAGCACTCACTTAGCACGGCTTACCATCCTCAAACTGATGGTCAGACAGAGAGAGTCAATCAGGTCATAGAGCAATATCTCAGGATGTACTGCAACTATGAGCAGAATGACTGGGCCAACCTGCTGGACACTGCGGCCTTTGTATACAACAACACGGTCCACAACAGCATTGGTGTCTCACCATTCTTTGCATGCTATGGATGGAACCCCAAAGCTCATCCTGACATCCCTCAACGACTAGGAGTCAATGATCCAGGTCGCTTCGAGTACCTCATGGATGGAAAGGAGCGTTGCAAGTACCTCCAAGAGCAGATCAGAGAGGCACAATGGAGATCAGTAGACCAGTATAACAGGAAGCACAAGGACATCGAGTTTAAGGTGGGTGATATGGTCTATATCAACCGTTGAAACTGGAAGACACGGAGACCCACACCCAAGTTAGATACCTGGTTTGCAGGACCCTACCCAGTTCAGGAATGGGTAGGACACCGAGCTTATCGAATCACATTGCCAGCAAACCTTAGGGTGCATGATGTGTTCCATGTCTCCATGCTCGAGCCAGCAAGAACAAGTTCTCTTCCTCAACGTGCTGAACAGCCCACCATGCCACCACTTCCAGATGAGGACCTCGACTTCGAAGTCGAAGCACTCATCGACAAGCGTTCACACAATGGGACTACAGAGTACAAGGTGTTGTGGAGAGGGTACTCAGAAGAAGCTGCTTCATGGGAACCAGTAGAGAACCTCAACTGTCCCGACCTCATCCAGGAGTATGAGGAGTCGGAGGGGGGACGAGTGAGTAGACAAAGTAGAGAAAGGAGGAGAGAACAGGAGGAGTAGAGAGAGGAAGAGAGAACAGGAGGAGTAGAGAGAGGAGGATGACGTTGAGAGAAGGAGGAAGGATGACGGGGGCGATGTTGTCAAGGAAGAGGAGGAGTCAGCATGAACCAGACCAGAGCATGCCTCGACGGAGCTCGGCTCTTAAGAGGGGGGTAGTGTCATGGGCCTGGATGCTCAAGAAGCAGGAGGGTCACTGGTTCATATGGACGGAGCACAGGTATCGAAGACCTAGTCGATACCAGTAGAGAGCATGGTCGTAGTGCAGTCTCCATGGAGACCAGGGACTCCTATGGATTCACATGCAAAGGAGCACTGAGCCCATATGCGAGGAGGACCAGGCACAGCCACGAGGAGGACCAAGCTCAAAGAGCAGGCGCAGCCATGAGGAGGACCAAGCTCAGATGGTTACCACTCAGGGGCTCGAGAGACAGGAAGTCGACACAGGTCATGAGGAGGAGGAGCAGTGTCGAAGGAGTCGACACAGGTCATGAGGAGGAGGAGCAGTGTCGAAGGAGTCGACACAGGTCATGAGGAGGAGGAGCAGTGTCGAAGGAGTCGACACAGGTCATGAGGAGGAGGAGCAGTGTTGAAGGAGCCGACACCACTCAAGAGGCACAGGGGTGCCAAGCAGGAGAGGCCCCTGAGCAGTACTCGATGAAGAAAGTACTCTCTGGAGAGAGAGCAGGAGCAGCATCGCTGGCGATGCTGTGAAGAGGTATATAACCATGCTTTCTCATCATCATAGGTCGAGTGGATCCTCATCCACTCTACTCACCATATAACTAGTTATCACTTCAGCATAAGTATACATTAGTTTCAGTCAGCATAGCAGCAATCTATCAAGGTTGCTCCTCATCGTAGTGTGTGTGTTGTATCACCACTACCTGACGTCTGAAGGCGCCCATAGCAGGTTAGCGGTCCGGATATAGATAGAACCAAAGGCAGTAGTCCACTGTGGTCCGGGGATCACTTCAAGCATCAAGTCAACACACTGGACACTCGTGTTGATGCCACCAACCTTATCACCAACACCATCAACCTCATTATCATCGACATCACCAACCTTATCACCAACACCATCAACCTCATTATCATCGACATCACCAATCTCATCACCAACACCATCAACCTCATCATCATCAACACGCACACCAGACCTTGGTGTCATCATAACATTGATATTGATCGTGCCGAGCTACCCCTGAATGGAGTGTCCACAGAGGTCAGCCGAAACCTACGATAGTATATACAACAAACGCCACCTGCTGTCACTGCACAACTTGATAGTCACCGAGTATCTCGAGACAATAGCTGTCGCACAGTTTGATAGTCACCGAGTATCTCGACAGACCGACCTGGGTTTCAGGCGCGAGACCCCTGACACTGGGCCTCACGACTACAACAGACAGTGGCAAACAGCTCAGTAGAGGCTGAATATGTAGCATTGGCAACAGCAGCCAGAGGACTCTTATGGGCCACGATGTTCCTGCGAGAACTGGATCAACCAGTGTTGAAGATGACAGGAATACATGTCAGTATTGGAACATCAAATATCTATTCCCATGATGGAGAGCTCACCTTTGATCAAGATGTACTGGTCCTACATAGCGATTCATCAGGCACTTGGGTTATAGCAAATGACCCTCAACACTTCAAGAGGACAAAGCATATTGACATAGCTCACTTCTTCCTGCATGATGAGATCACAAACAAATGACTTGTGATTGCTCCTGTTCAGAGTTGCGAAAACTTGGCTGATGTCTTGACAAAGCCACTTGCCATGCCAATGCTCTCACACATTTGACAACTACTTGGATTGACCATTTCATTGGAGAATGTTGGATCAAGAGGGGGTGCTGAAAATGATGATCCAATGAGATGGTAAAAGGGTGATGCAGAGCCAATCTGATCAAAGATCAGATTGGGCCAATCCAGTTGAGCTACCAATTCGATCATTGATTAGGTCAAGTTGATCTCAGGAGAAATCAGGTGCAACACAGTCCCACTCATTGTCATGATAGACCATGAAGTAGTAGTACCCCCACATCAGGCAAGTGCCACTCACATGTATATATAACTCACAGAGAGCACTAGGCTCTCACCACATTCCCTTAGTCAATTGAGTATATTTGTTTCTGTCTATAAACTAGCAGTGACATTGTACTTAGACTCTCCCCGATCGCCAGTATCGGGACCTAAACGACGTTTATATTCAACATCACCCACCTTTTTGCCGCCGCCTCGCGTGTCAAACGGCTCATCCGACTTTTCCTCAGCACAAACCATGTTCACAGACAACGGCGAGGATCTATGACCGTATCTATTGAGGAGACACACATCTACTTGGCTCTAGCAGGGGATGGGATGTAGCAGAATTCTCAAAGCACCTTCTCCTTGGCGGCCTCAAAGACCCTGTCTGCTGCTTTAGACCCACCGATGAGCCTCTCCTGGATCCAGTCAAAGGCAAAGTCAATGACGTGTTCGACAGGCTCGTCGAATAGGAAGGGCAGAGCAGGGACAAAAAGCAGACCGGCGACAGTAGGACCTGCAGCACGGATTCTTGTACTCTTGGCTTTTGCGAACAATGGAGCCGAGTAGCGAACGATACTGTGAATTGTGAAGGCAGGCAGTGCCATGGACGCAATGCTCTGGAAGACAGCTCGCCTGGCCATCACCAAACCGACGTGCATAGGTTCGGATACCTTGTTGGGCTCAACACCCGCATGGTCTCCTTGTGCCGCCAGACGTTGTGTGTGCCTTTTTCGGAGCTCAACTTTCTCTGTTGGGGAGAGAGCACCGAGTGTCTTTGCATCAAGAAGCTTTTCCAGAGGCAGGTTCTCGCGAGCCGAACTAAGCGCCTTCTCGGCAGATTTTGCCGCTTCGGACTGGAACTCTTGCATAGGGCCGCCCTTGGAGGAAAATGTAGTGGCGGCAAGCGCCTCCCATTGCTGAGCTGCCTTGTATCCGGCATAAGCGACATCACCCAGAATGTAGGTCCATGAAACAGCGTAGGCACCACGAACAAACCCAGGCTTGGTCAAGGGACGGAAAGCCTCGCCGATGTCGGAAGAGTAGGCGACGTAACGAGACGAAGCAATGATGATGGTCTTGAGTCGCATCGCGTAAGCGGCGTAACGAGATGGACCGTTGTCCAGGTCGAGGACCTCGCTTGTTGTGTCGGTGGAGGTGGACGAGGACAGTGAGGGTGTAGCAAAGCCCGAAGATTGATTTGTCAAGGTCGATACCTCGTTGTTGCTGTTCCCGCTGGAGAGGATAGAGGAATGGGCTTTGAACGCGCTGTTGACCAATGCTCCTGTATCGGAGTCGAGAGGATCCAATATGTCGTCATTCAGTCAGCACCGTCGAACATCATAACACGAACGAGGTGTAGACAAGACTTACCCTGCAGTTGGAAGCCGAGGCCACTGAGCCCGAACATAGGGATGTAGCGTTGAGGCTCGATCGTTGTGACGTCCATCATCCTGGGCAACGTAGTGGTAAGAAACGAAGATGGTGGTGTACCGAAATCAAGGTGAAAGCAAGGGTCAAGTTTGCAAGCTATCCGGCTTGAGATAACTGACACACTCTAAATCCCTACCAACATATCTTCTTGGCGAAAGACGTCTGTGTTGTGGCGGTCGCCAAAAATGGGCGAGACAGCATCACACCGTCATCTCGCTGCTTCGGTTTTTCCCTTTTTCTCTCCACGGCATCGGGGTCCAAGCCCGATTTCAGCAGCAAGCGCGTGCAAAAGGAGTCTTTTCTTGCATCGGCGATGATCCAAGGGTCGTACTCTACGGATGGGCCATTAACGCACACTCACAGCCGAAAGAGCCAACCTTTGGATACGACACCATTCTCTTCGCAATCAGATCTTCAGCCTTCCTTCCGACATCGACCAATCTCGATCGTCACATTGCTTCTCTCGCCTTAACGGCAGGGCCGAAGTTGTGCTGACGAAAGCGCAGGCTGAGTCGAGACCATCGCTCACTCCACTAGTTCACATCGACCGGGCCCAGCTCCTTGCCTTCCCTCCTCGACCTGACATAAGACCACGCGAAAGGCACTGGCAACCATCAAGCATCTCATGCCCTATGATATCAAGCTGGCACAATGCTCGATGACTTTGTGCAGAGCTCGTCGTCGCCATTGGCGGCTAATCGACGCATTCATTCCGACCGTCAACAGCCAAACGGGTCGCGCTTTGCGTCCGGTCCCTATGACTCTGTCAACGATGGCTTCGAGCCTAGCAACGGTCGTGGATCTGACAATGAAGATGGTGCCTACAGTGAAGGTTTTGGTGCATCAATGCTCGACCCCATCTCAGCCCTCGAGACTGGCTTCATCTCTTCTGATGCTGGCCCCTCCTCGCATTCAGACCCCATCTTTCAGCTTGGCAGGGTCCAGTACGCCTTCTCAGCACCATTAGCACTTATGACAGTATCGTCAAATATACTTACCATGTGTCTCTACTCCTATCCGAATCCATCACAAGCAGCGAATCCCTTCCCAGCTGCTCCACCAAAGCTTGTTCGTATCAACCTCGACGACCCAGAGCGAACAGAAGAGGCAGATGTCCCGATCCCACCAACACCTCGATCAGCTCGCAATGCACCACCACCAGATCCAAGCACAATAGGTCCTCACAAGATGTATGGCGATCCATTCGGCGTTCACCTCCTGCTAGCTATGCGCAACGGCGACAACTATTACTGGGCAAGCGGATGGAAGAAAGCACGATTGTTGCCAAAACTCAAAGGACACATCATCGAAAGTGTCGCATGGAACAAGGACGCTCAAGGGTCGTCGGCGCCGTCATCACACAATCGCACATCCAACAACCAGCCTGCGCTTTCGACCACACGAGAGATCCTCATCGGTACGCGGTCTGGAGACATCTACGGAGTCGTCATCACAGCACCAGTCGGTACTGATCCAGACGATGGCGACATCTTTGACAAGATTGCGCGCAGAACTGCCGGCAATGGTGCTGAAAGAGGCGATGTTGATCGCGTCGTCAGACACATGACCACCCTGCCCGAACGACAGCCTGTTACTGGCCTCGCAGCAGAGACCTTTCCACGCTCTAGCCAGACATCTGCTGTCAATGGTGCAAATGACTCCAGCAACTCTTCGTCAAGCGAGTTTCGGCAAGCGGTCGTCATAGCAACAACCAGCACACGTATCTACGAGTTTGTCGGTGTGCTGTCCAAAGCCCGCAATGACGATTCTGACTCACATTCAATGTACGGCAAGCTCTTCTTGCCGTACCGAGGAGACGCCTCACCAAATCTCAAGTCCGAGCTTCCAGGCGATCTACCGTACTCAGAGCTACATACATGGACTCCATCCTCCGTCAAGCATGCCTCGGCACTGGCCTGGCTCACTGGTCCAGGCGTGTATCACGGGCTGCTCTCTTATCCTTCGAACGCAACAGCCGGCGACAGCGTCATTGAGTCAGCCAATTTGCTCCCCTACCCGGCCATCACCATCGAAGACGAAGGAAACGCAAACCCTAACAAACGTCGCTGTCGCATCAGCACAACCTCGAATGGCGACGACAGCGGCTTTGGCAACGGTGCAGCACCCATCACCGAGATCCCTCTCGGCATTGCACTCACCGAGTTCCATTTTGTCCTGCTCTATCAAGACCGCGTGATGGCCATCAGCTCGCTTGACGATCAAGTCATCTTCGAAGAAGCGCTTCCGCTCAAGTCCAACGAGCGCGTCATTGGCACAGCTGTCGATGTCGCAAAGCAGACCTACTGGATCTACACCGACGCCAGTATCTTCGAGCTTGTCTTGCAAGATGAAGACCGACATGTCTGGCGCGTCTATCTCGATCGCGGGTCCTACGATACAGCGCTCAAGTTTGCCAAACCAGGCATTCAGCGTGGCACAGTACTTTCGTTCCAAGGTGATCGCTTCTTTGCAGAGGGCAAGTACATCCAGGCAGCGCAGTGCTATGCGCAGACGTTCATGCGTGCATTTGAAGAGATCGTGCTGCGCTTCACCGATGCAGACCAACGAGACGCACTTCGCTACTACCTAGTGATGCGCCTCGAACGGCTCGACAAAAACCAGGACATTGCGCAACGCATCATGATCGCAACATGGCTCGCCGAGATCTACCTCAGCAAGATCAACCAACTCGAAGATGTTGCTGCTGCCGAAGCTGCCAGCCAAGATGTCGACAACTACCGCCTCGAGACTACGATGATTACCGAAGAGCTCTATCAGTTCTTGTCGACGTACCGATCGCTCCTCGATCCCCGCACTACCTTTGATCTCACCAAGAAGCACGGTCGATCCGACGTCTATCTGCACTTTGCCTCCGTCACTGGCGACCACGAACGCATTGTACGTCACCACATCCAAGCGAAGCAGTGGACCAAGGCCATCGATGCCATCAACGAGCAGGATTCGCTGGAGCTCTACTACAGCTTCGCTTCGGTGCTGATGCGCCATGCCCCCGCTCAAACTGTCGAGTGCTGGACAAGGCAACGGAAGCTTGACCCACGCAAGCTGATACCGGCACTGCTGCAGCACAAGCCTGAGCTCGACCTGGGCGAGACCGATCATGCTGTCAAATACCTCAGCACCATCGTCGCGGGCAAGAATGGCAACAAAGACACGGCCATTCACAACCTGTTGCTGACACTGCTGGCAAGACGTTCATCACGCTACCCTAAGCGCGAAGACACGAAGCAGAAACTACTGCGCTTCATCGACGAGGCAAAGCCAAATCCGCTCACAGGTCATCCTTACTTTGACCTCGACTACGCGCTCAGAACATGCCTGTCGCAAGGACAGATGGAAGCGTGTGTACGCATCTTTGCTAAGATGGGCCTGTTCAAGTCGGCCGTCGAGCTTGCCATTCGTGAAGGTGGGATCGAGCTAGCATGCAGCTATGTGGACATGGCTGAGACTATGGATCATGATCTGCGCAAGAAGCTCTGGCTTCGGGTCGCCAAAGAAGTCGTCCGCACTTCAGCCGACATCAAGGCAGCTATGGCTTTCTTGCGCCGCACCGATCTCATCTCGATCGAAGATGTGCTGCCCTTCTTCCCAGACTTTGCTGTTATCGACGACTGCAAAGATGACATCTGTGAGGCGCTGGAAGGCTATGCCACGCACATCGAGGAGCTGAAGGATGAGATGGACGAAGCCTCTCGCTCAGCAGCTGCCATTCAACAGGACATCGCCAAGCTGAGTGAACGATTCGTCACCATCGATCCGGATCAGAAGTGCCATCACTGCATGCAGATGCTAGTACAGCGACAGTTCTACATCTTCCCCTGCCGACACGGCTTCCATGCGGATTGCCTAATCGGCGAGGTGACCAAGACCATGTCGACGCGCAGTCTGAGGAAGCTACTCGAACTGCAGCAGCAGATCTCGGCGCTCACCAGCGGCCTCGTACCCGCATTACCAAGCTCGGCATTGGCGAACATGGGCTTCCTCAAGGACGGCTCAAAGGCGGTGGCCAACGTCGCACAGGGAGCAAGACAAGCTGGTCTGAGCGGATTGCAAGCTGGCGCTCGCGGGTTGGGCAATGTTACAGCAGCTGTGGGACTGGACAAGCTTCGAGAACTGGTGGTTCCGGATGCCGTGATCAGCGCTATCTCGGCAGGTGTCAGTGTCAGTGTCGCTGGCGGTCGAAGAGTGTTAGCTCCGCTGGATCCGTTCTCGAACCCGGCAACAGACTGGGTGGCAGGCTCGCGTACAGCAGCACAGAGAAGAGCAGCTGCTATGGTGGCTTCGTCTGACTCGGATGCAGTTGGTAATGGCGCAGATGGAGCTGTTAACAAGAAGGCTTTTGGATTGGCCAGAAGCATCGAGGACCAAGAACGCATTCAGCAGTTGCGTGACCAACTGGATGCACTCATCGCTGGCAGTTGCCCTATGTGCGATGGCATAGCGAATGCCATCGGTCGTCCCTTCATCACGGATAAGGAAGCAGCGGAGGAGTGGGCATTGTAACCCTGGAACCCATCAATGCCAGCCATTTACAATCTTCTCAAGTCCATGTACAGTCCCTACCCGAAGTTTGGGGACAGGGTCCAATAGACAATGATTCAACCATCCGATAGCATACTGTCACACCTGAGCACTATCTCGTGCGAGTACTAACTGTACGAGAATGCTCAAACGAATATCCTCTCGCGCGAATACCCGTCGCGCAGGAAAGTTTGATACCTTGCATCAAAGTTTGATACCTAGATTGCAAATCTTTGCTCTTATGATCATTGCTGTACAGATGATGATACTTAAACTAGCTTCCATCCTGTGTTGAAGTTTGAAGAAGTTTCAGTCCCGATACTGGCAATTGGGTAGAGTCCGAGTACAATGTCACTACTTCTTTAAGGCAGAAACATGTATACTTGATTGACTGAAGGATGTGGCAAGAGCCTAGTGCTCTCTGAGTGATATATATACATGTGAGCAGCACACACCAAAGGTGGGAGTACTCCTACCTAATGATCTACCATGACAATGTGTGGGACTGTGTTGCACCCAATCTCTGCTGAGATTGGCTTGGCTCAATCTCTGATCAGATTGGTCATCTCACTGTATTGGCCCTGCCTGATCTCTGATCAGATCTGCCCTGCGTCGTCCTCTGTCATCGCACTGGATCGTAATCTCCAACATCCTGGTCTCCTTCTTACAGCAATCGATCTAGTTACACCATTACACTGCGCATACAGCTTGCACACGTAATAGCGTAACATTGGTAGCACTCGTAAGTCCTTCAACAACAACAACCACCTTTGACAACAACAACAAACTTCAACTCGACCATGGTCGATCACCTTAAACAACATAACTCCATGATACATTACTCGTGCACAAGGCGGCTCCTTGTTGCCACCACTCAATAACCCAGATTGTCCAGAGGTGTTGCCCTATCAGCAAATGTCATCAAGGAACTCCTTCCTCCCAAGCACTCCTCCCACTTTGATCAAACCAAACATGCCCAAAGCAGATGCATCACACCCAGGAAGTGCACATACAGCCACTTCTGCCACTGCCACCAATGAACCACTCATGCTGGCTTGGGTTCGAATGCTTCTAGAACAGCAAGCTCATGCCAATCGCGCCATGGAGGAGTGATAGGCCAGCATGTTCGAGCAACAGGCCTCCACCTTTCAACTCCTCAAGACCTTCATCCTGGGTCAAGGACCTCACGGTCAGAATCAATTGGTGCCTGAGTGCCAACCTCCCTTTTCTCCATGTCCTTCCGACTACGCCTGAGATGAGCACATGTTTGAGTGTAACCATGAGGAACATAGTTACGATTGAACCTCCCCTCGCCACCCTGACAATGGGTGTGACCACTGTACTGACACTCATGACAACCATACTAACACTCATGACAATCATAACTATGTGTGCGATGGAAATATCACCACAATTCAGCTGCTTCTCGTTAAGGATCGTTCCTTGAAACCCGAGGAGATTGCCATTTTCAATCCTGGTGCCAGAGACAATGTCGAAGTGTTCTGCCATCACATTCAAGACCTGGCAGCCTTCAAGAGTCAGGCTGCCATTTGCATAGTCCTAATGCAGTGTTTGCACTTGACAGCTATGGACTGGTACACAAACCTTGGCAAGATTGAACATGCTCAGCTCCATGTGAGTACCAATGCATGGCAATGCCTATGTGATCATTTCAGTATGAGCATGACTGAAGCCCACAGTGCTCTTAGCTCCCTATGCTATGACCTCACTGGTGACTACCACACTTACCACAAACACAAGATTTGCCTTGCATGCATCGCTGGTATCAGTGTTCCAAAGCAGATTGTTCAGTCCCTTTTTGCTGGTCTACCCTTCGACATGCGAAATGCTCTCACCAGCAGCCTCGAGGGCAAAGAGGCTGATGACCTCAACATCTTCTGTTGCTGCTGTCTGGTGCAATGTGCTATGCTTCTTACATGTCACTCAGAACAACACCACATGCCTCCTCCTACCTTCAAGACCCCTCAACCCTCTTGGCCCCAGCAGCAGGTCACTGTCATGGGCCTGGATGCTCAAGAAGCAGGAGGGTCACTGGTTCATATGGAAGGAGCACAGGTATCGAAGACCTAGTCGATACCAGTAGAGAGCATGGTTGTAGTGCAGTCTCCATGGAGACCATGGACTCCTATGGACTCCTATGGACTCACATGCAAAGGAGAACCGAGCCACATGCGAGGAGGGCCAGGCACAGCCACGAGGAGGACCAAGCTCAAGGAGCAGGCACAGCCATGAAGAGGACCAAGCTCAGATGGTTACCACTCAGGGGCTCAAGAGACAAGAGTCAAAGGAACTGTCACCAGTCAAAGGAGAAGGAGCAGTGTATAGGACACTAGCAGGCAGGCCCTGAGGAAGAGGAGCAGTGTCGAAGGAGTCAACACCAGGTCATGAGGAGGAGGAGCAGTGTGTCAGGGGTCTCGCGCCTGAAACCCAGGTTGGTCTGTCGAGATACTCGGTGACTATCAAACTGTGCGACAGCTATTGTCTCGGTATCAGTGACTATCAAGTTGTGCGGTGACAGCAGGTGGTGTTCATTGTATATACTATCGTAGGTTTCGGCTGACCTCTGTGGACACTCCGTTCAGGGGTAGCTCGGCATGATCAATATCAATGTTATGATGACACCAAGGTCTGGTGTGAGTGTTGATGATGATGAGGTTGATGGTGTTGGAGATGAGATTGGTGATGTCGATGATAATGAGGTTGATGGTGTTGGTGATAAGGTTGGTGGCATCAACACGAGTGTCCAGTGTGTTGACTTGATGCTTGAAGTGATCCCCGGACCGCAGTGGACTACTGCCTTCGGTTCTATCTTGATCTGGACCACTAACCTGCTATGGGCGCCTTCGGACATCAGGTAGTGGTGATACAACACACACACTATGATGAGGAGCAACCTTGATAGATTGCTGCTATGCTGACTGAAACTAATGTATACTTATGCTGAAGTGATAACTAGTTATATGGTGAGTAGAGTGGATGAGGATCCACTCGACCTATGATGATGAGAAAGCATGGTTATATACCTCTACTCAGCATCGCCAGCGATGCTGCTCCTGCTCTCTCTCTCCAGAGAGTACCTTCTTCATCGAGTACTGCTCAGGGGCCTCTCCTGCTTGGCACCCCTGTGCCTCTTGAGCTGTGTCGATTCCTTCGACACTGCTCCTCCTCCTCATGACCTGATGTCAACTCCTTCGACACTGCTCCTCCTCCTCATGACCTGGTGTCGACTCCTTCGACACTGCTCCTCCTCCTTTGATCAGTGACAGTTCCTTTGGCTCTTGTCTCTCGAGCCCCTGAGTGGTAACCATCTGCATGCTCCTTGAGCTTGGTCCTCTTCGTGGCTGTGCCTGCTCCTTGAGCTTGGTCCTCCTCGTGGCTGTGCCTGGCCCTCCTCGCATGTGGCTCGGTTCTCCTTTGCATGTGAGTCCATAGGAGTCCATGGTCTCCATGGAGACTGCACTACGACCATGCTCTCCACTGGTATTGACTAGCTCTTTGATACCTGTGCTCCTTCCATATGAACCCATGACCCTCCTGCTTCTTGAGCATCCAGGCCCATGACACTACCCCCCTCTTAAGAGCCGAGCTCCGTCGAGGCATGCTCTGGTCTGGTTCATGCTGACTCCTCCTCCTCCTCCTTGACAACATCGCCAACATCATCCTTCCTCCTTCTCTCAACGTCATCCTCCTTCCTCTTCCTCTCTCTACTCCTCCTGTTCTCTCCTCCTCTCTCTACTCTGTCTACTCACTCGTCCCCCCTCCGACACCTCATACTCCTGGATGAGGTCAGGACAGTTGAGGTTCTCTACTGGTTCCCATGAAGCAGCTTCTTCTGAGTACCCTCTCCACAACACCTTGTACTCTGTAGTCCCATTGTGTGAACGCTTGTCGATGAGTGCTTCAACTTCGAAGTCGAGGTCCTCATCTGGAAGTGATGGTATGGTGGGCTGTTCAGCACGTTGAGGAAGAGAACTTGTTCTTGCTGGCTCGAGCATGGAGACATGGAACACATCATGCACCCTAAGGTTTGCTGGCAATGTGATTCGATAAGCTCGGTGTCCTACCCATTCCTGAACTGGGTAGGGTCCTGCAAACCAGGTATCTAACTTGGGTGTGGGTCTCCGTGTCTTCCAGTTTCAACGGTTGATATAGACCATATCACCCACCTTAAACTCGATGTCCTTGTGCTTCCTGTTATACTGGTCTACTGATCTCCATTGTGCCTCTCTGATCTGCTCTTGGAGGTACTTGCAACGCTCCTTTCCATCCATGAGGTACTCGAAGCGACCTGGATCATTGACTCCTAGTCGTTGAGGGATGTCAGGATGAGCTTTGGGGTTCCATCCATAGCATGCAAAGAATGGTGAGACACCAATGCTGTTGTGGACCGTGTTGTTGTATACAAAGGCCGCAGTGTCCAGCAGGTTGGCCCAGTCATTCTGCTCATAGTTGCAGTACATCCTGAGATATTGCTCTATGACCTGATTGACTCTCTCTGTCTGACCATCAGTTTGAGGATGGTAGGCCGTGCTAAGTGAGTGCTTCACACCCATTTGCTCTGCAAATGCCTTCCATGCTCCTGATATGAACTGCCTGCCTCGGTCCGAGACCATGTGATCTGGATATCCGAAGAGTCTAACCATGTGTCCATATAGCAATACTGCAGTCTGTTTGGCTGTGACTGTCTTATGGGTTGGAGCTAGTATGGCAAACTTGGTTAACCTGTCGACGATGACTAGGATAGAGTCATAGGTCTTGGAGTCATACTTCTTTGATGGTGGTAGTCCTTCAATGAAGTCGAGGGATATGGAGCCCCAGGGCCTGTCTGGGGTTGCTAGTGGCTGTAGCAAACCATATGGACGATGACGAGGAGCTTTGTACCTAGCACATACAGGACAACTTGCTACATAGTCTGCAATCCAAGCTGTCATGTTTGGCCACCAGTAATGTCGTTGTGCTGCCTTGATGGTAGCATCTCTTCCTACGTGTCCAGCAGTGATACCATCATGGCATTGGGTCATCACCATGAATCGCAGATGCTCTACAGAGAGAGACTGTCCATCTACCTCTTTGGCACTCCTTGAGTGTCGGTTGTTGGTCCTCCCTGGCATGATCACTTTGGGGATAACCAACCTTCCTCCACTGTACCATAGGTCATCCCTGACCTCGAAGGGCTTCTTCCTATGTATCTCCTGTAGCTCTTGGTCTAAGGGCTGGAAGATCTTGACCAGGTCTTTGAGACCTTTTGATGCTATGGACTCCATCGAGATCATGGGGGCCACTAGGAGCGAGTCATGGTCTGCTGTCTCCTTGAACACTCGAGGAGGCAGTAGTTGCCTCACATTGTGATCCTGCTCTTCACCAGCTGGTTGCATGTCTGTCCTTCTGGTGAGAGCATCGGGTTCACCACCTTTGTCTCCTGGTCGATACTGCAATATGAAGTCGAAGTCTGCTAGTAGTATGGCCCATCGAGCCTGTCGACCTGTGATGCGTCTCTGTGACTTGAAGTACTTGAGGGCTTCATGGTCAGTGAGGATGACCAGTTGGTTCGGTAGTCCAGCTAGCATGTGTCGCCACTGAGTGAGGCAGGCGACCACAGCTAGGAGCTCCTTATCATGGATCTCATAGTTCTTCTCGGCAGAAGACATCTTCCTAGAGTAGAAGGCCACTGGATGCCATCGTCCTTCATGCTCCTGCTTGAGCACTCCTGCTATAGCAAAGTCACTTGCATCAGTCTCCAACCTTGTTGGAAGGTGGTAGTCGAAGTGCTGAAGCACTCCTGCTGATGTGAAGGCCTGGATGAGCTTGTGGAAGGCCTGTTGGGCCTCCTCTGGTAGCTCGAGCTTCTTGAACCGTTCTATAGGCTTTACCAGTGCTGTCAAGGGCTTGGCTATGCGAGCAAAGTGGGCTATGAACCTTCGATAGAAGTTGGCAAAACCCAGGAACCTCTGGATGTCATGGATTGACTCTGGCATTGGCCACTCCTTGACAGTGCGCACCTTTTCTGGGTCCATCTCTATGCCCGTTGGCTTGATGATGTACCCCAGGAACTCGACTGTCTTGGTGTGGAACTCACACTTCGACAGCTTAGCAAAGAGCCTGTTGCTCCTTAAGCGAGTGAGGACCTCAGTGACATGCTTCACATGTACCTCTTCAGTGTCACTGAAGATCAGGAAGTCATCTAAGTATACCACTACATATACTCCAATGATGTCTCGGAAGATGTCATTGATGAATGACTGGAAGTGAGCCGGAGCATTGGCTAGGCCAAAGGGCATCACTAGGTACTCATAGAGTCCCAACTGAGTGCCAAAAGCTGTCTTCCATTCATCTCCTTTAGCAATCCGGATGAGGTTGTATGCTGCTCTAAGGTCTAGCTTGGTATAGATCCTTGCCTTCCTGAGTAAGAACAGCTGCTCCTCGATGAGGGGCAATGGTGCCCTGTTCTTGACAGTGATCTCGTTGAGACCTCTGTAGTCCACACAGAGTCTGAGACCTCCATCCTTCTTTGGTACGAAGAGCACTGGTGATCGTGCCGGGCTCTTCGATGGTCTTATGAACCCCTTCTCGAGGTTCTCATCCAAGTATCTCCTCAACTCGGACATCTCCTTGGGTCCCTTAAGGTATAGGGGCCCTTGAGGTGGCTTACCTCCTTCTATCAACTCAAGGTGGAGATCATGCTCGGTATGATGGGGCAGCTTGTCTGCTTCCACCTCATCAAACACATCTCGCAGGTGTTGGTATGGCTTTGGTATGTCTGCAGCCGTCACCACCTTATCTACCTCCACCTCCATCTCGACTCCTTTGTCTGCGCCTGTAGGTACAAAACCAAAGGCCGGGAGTGATGATGGTGGCTCCTCTAACAGCATGAACCCTATGGGTCCATCTTCCAGAGCTGCTCGTAGTATGCGCTCTGCTGAGACAAACTCGTTACCATGAAGGGTTGGTCTCCTCATGGTTAGGTCCCCTGCTCTTGCTGCTTCAGGGGGTCTCCTAGGGGGTCGGTCCTGCTCCTGAGTCTTGAACTCCAGCTGGCCCGTATCCCATTGTATGGTGGGTTTGAGCCTCCGTAGCTCAGTGAACCCCAGGATGAGGTCATAGTCCGCAGTGTCGGCCACTGAAGCTTCGACCACACCCAGATTGTGTGTACCAATAGATACCTGCATGCTCGCAGAACTATTGATGGAGAGTTGGTGCCCGGTGACACCATGGATCGATCTTGTTTTTATGGGTTTTGTGGGTATTTGGTACTTACTAATGAAAGAATCTGAGACTATGGACAAACCAGCACCGGTATCAGCTAGTATCTGAGCAGGATGGTCTTGAACCATTCCAGAGAGCTCCAGTACTGCTTTGCCTCCACTGGTAGAGAAACATACTTGACAATCTTGATATATACAGAGTGATGGCGAGGAGGTTTGTAGAGCAATGCATGCCATCAGTGCATCACCCCACTGACGTTTCCCTCATCGTCATCATCATTGTGCTCCTCCTCGTGATCGGGGTCCATGGGTTGCTGGTATGAGCTGAGGTCCATGGCCTCGGGGTCACCCGTCTCAGTGCTGCCTGTGTGGCCATCTCCTGAGTCGGTGGCCTCCTCGAAGGGGTCTGCTGTGGTGACCATAACCTTTGGTCCCATGGGTCGAGAGCTAAGAGGGTCTACCCTCCTGCTGGGGCAGTCTCTGGCCCAATGGCCGATACCCTTGCATACATGACAGGTGTTGATACCTGATGGAGCAGGGCTTCCTTGCTTCGAGGGTTGGGTGGGATGATGAGGAAGGGGTCGGTTTAGGTTTTGTATAGTTGCTTGTGTAGTTGCTTGTGATGGTGATCGAGCTGGATAAGGTTGAGTGGGTTGTCGGATGGGGATCGAACTTTGATTTGGCCGAGACCCAGTTCTTAGTGGAGGTGACATGGCATTTGGAAGTGAGTGTCTAGCCGAGGACTGCTGTAGTAGCATCCTCTGTCGATCGATCTCCTCGACCTCTCGATACCACTCCCATCTCTTCCCAGGTGGATTCCTCTCGAACTTCTCCTGTATGCTACGAGTGAGACTACCTCTGAAGAGATCAATCACTAGCTCATTGTCATCTAGGTTGACCTGTCCTTCCAAGTCTCTGAACCGCTCTACATGACGTGTGGCGGCACCAGGAGCATCACTTGTGAGTCTGAGAGCCAACAGCTTGTTGTATGCCTCCATCCTAGCATTGCGTGGGTTGAACTGCTCTGACAGTCGCTCTGTGAAGTAGTGCCAATCATTGAACAACCTTCCTTCTCTAGCTCTATCAATGCGGAGCTTGGAGGTCCACCACTCTCTTGCTGTCCCTTCCAGTTGAGCACCCATGTGATTGATCATCCTAGACTGCTCATACACCTGGTTGAACTTAAACCATGCTTCGGCTTCTAGAATGAAGATCTCCATGTCTCGGGGATTGAACTTTGGAAAGGGAGTGGCAATGGGCTTTGACCGGTTAAGCTCTGCCATGATGCTGGTATCCTCCTCGTGGTCCAGGGGGTAAGGATCCGTCCTAGTCCTGCTGTAGGGGTCCAGCTTAGTCTTGACATATCTTGGCCCAGTAGGTGAAGCATACTTCTCGTAGTTGATGTCCTCCTGCTCATCCAGGTTGAATGAGACTGATCGTCTTGGTTGTGGAGCCGGAGTAGGAGTATGTGGGTCTCCTATCATAGACTCATCTCCTCCTCCTGCTTGGTCTTCCGAGTGAGAGAGGTCCATTGTCTCCTCCCTACCCAGCTGAGCTCGTTGTAGTCGTTCCTCTCGATGACCCTGCCTAGTAAGCTCTAGCTGAGCTTCCAATAGAGTGAGTAGTCTATCGAGCTTATTGTTGAGGTCTGGGTCCGTCATGGTGATCGTGAGGAGCTGCTTGAACGATCCACTCTAATGTCAGGGGTCTCGCGCCTGAAACCCAGGTCGGTCTGTCGAGATACTCGGTGACTATTAAACTGTGTGACAGCTATTGTCTCGGTATCGGTGACTATCAAGTTGTGCAGTGACAGCAGGTGGCGTTCATTGTATATACTATCGTAGGTTTCGGCTGACCTCTGTGGACACTCCGTTCAGGGGTAGCTCGGCACGATCAATATCAATGTTATGATGACACCAAGGTCTGGTGTGAGTGTTGATGATGATGAGGTTGATGGTGTTGGTGATGAGATTGGTGATGTCGATGATAATGAGGTTGATGGTGTTGGTGATGAGATTGGTGATGTCGATGATAATGAGGTTGATGGTGTTGGTGATAAGGTTGGTGGCGTCAACACAAGTGTCCAGTGTGTTGACTTGATGCTTGAAGTGATCCCCAGACCGCAGTGGACTACTGCCTTCAGTTCTATCTTGATCTGGACCACTAACCTGCTATGGGCACCTTCGGATGTCAGGTAGTGGTGATACAACACACACACTACGATGAGGAGCAACCTTGATAGATTGCTGCTATGCTGACTGAAACTAATGTATACTTATGCTGAAGTGATAACTAGTTATGGTGAGTAGAGTGGATGGGGATCCACTCGACCTATGATGATGAGAAAGCATGGTTATATACCTCTTCACAGCATTGCCAGCGATGCTGCTCCTGCTCTCTCTCCAGAGAGTACCTTCTTCATCGAGTACTGCTCAGGGGCCTCTCCTGCTTGGCACCCCTGTGCCTCTTGAGTGGTGTCGACTCCTTCGACACTGCTCCTCCTCCTCGTGACCTGTGTCGACTTCCTGTCTCTCGAGCCCCTGAGTGGTAACCATCTGAGCTTGGTCCTCCTCGTGGCTGCGCCTGCTCTTTGAGCTTGGTCCTCCTCGTGGCTGTGCCTGGTCCTCCTCGCATATGGGCTCAGTGCTCCTTTGCATGTGAATCCATAGGAGTCCATGGTCTCCATGGAGACTGCACTACGACCATGCTCTCCACTGGTATCGACTAGGTCTTCGATACCTGTGCTCCGTCCATATGAACCAGTGACCCTCCTGCTTCTTGAGCATCCAGGCCCATGACAGATGTTGTCAGGGGTCGCGCGCCTGAAACCTGGTCTGCTCGTCGTTTGGCGACTATTAAGTTGTGCAACAGCTATTGTCTCTATACCGATCTTGGTGAGCTGTGTTGTTTGGCAACTATCAAGTTGTGCGACAGCTGGTGGCATTCAATATGAATGTTGTATGCTATTGTAGGTTTTGGCTAACCTCTGTGGACACTCCATCCAGGGGTAGCTTGGCACAATCAATATCAATATGAAGGTTGTGATGACACCAAGGTCTGGTGTGAGTGGTCTTGTTGATGATGAGGTTGATGTGGCATTGATGATAAGGTTGGTGGTGTTGGTGATAAGGTTGGTGGCATCAACACAAGTGTCCAGTGTGTCGACTTTCGCTTGAGGTGATCCCCAGACCACAGTGGACTACTGCCTTTGGTTCTATCTTAATCCAGACCACTGGTTTGCTATGAACCACCTTCGGACATCAGTGAGTGGTGATACAACACACACACTACAATGAGGAGCAACCTTGATAGATTGCTACTATGCTGACAATAACTAATGAATACTTATATGCTGAAGTAGTACTAGTTGTATGGTGAGTGTAGAGTGGATGAGGATCCACTTGATCACTGGTGACAAGAAGGTATGGTTATATACCTCTTTACAGCATTTGCCAGCGATGCTGCTCCTGCTCTCTCTCCAGAGAGTACCCTCTTCATCGAGTACTGTGCAGGGGGTCCCTCTAGTACCACTCCTGTCCTCCTTGAGCTATGTGTCGACTCCTCCGACACTGCTCCTCCTCCTTGCCATCCTGCTTGCTTAGCACTCCTGTGCCTCTTGAGCTGTGTTGACTCTTTCAACACTGCTCCTCCTCCTCCTCCTCCTCCTCAAGACTTGCTTACCGGTCTCCTATACACTGCTCCTCCTCCTTTGACCAGCAACGGTTCCTTTGACCCTTATCTCTCGAGCCCCTGAGTAGCACCCATCTGCATGCTCCTTGAGCTTGGTCCTCCTCTTGGCGGTGCTTGGCCCTCCTCACATATGTGCTCGGTCCTCCTCGCATTTGCACTCAGTCCTCCTTGCATATGAGCCCATTGTATGGACCTCCTTGCCCATGGTCTCCATGGAGATTGTACCATGACCATGCTATAGCCGACCCTTCTGTAGATCGGCCTGATCCCCTGATACCTGTGCTCCCTCCCTATGAACCAACTGCCTACCTGCTTCCTGCGCATTCAGGCCCATGACAGATGTATGGTTGGATAACCATTCCCTTAGAGTAATGATCTTCCAACAACTTCCATAACTGGTGGGCAGATCTCTCATCATCATCATTGATGCTTGCCACAACATCAGGGGCGATGGCATCGAGGATGGCAGACACTGCTTTCCTGGAGGCGGTGAGGTGGAGGTGTCAAAGCTTCTCATCCTTGATGGATGAGATGGGCACTGCAGTGTCCGTAATGTGGTCCCACATGATGGGATTGATACCTTTGACATACCTTTTGAAGCACTTTCTCCATGAGTGGTAGTCGGTACTACCCTTCAGGATAGGCATCGTAGAGGCAGACATGGAGACATCCATCATGTTGGCAGGGGGTTCTCACTCAAGCCAATGGGCGAGTGTCAATGATGTGCGATACTGAGGCCAGCCAGGCTTGCAGCAATCAGAGGAGTTTGAAATGGGACCAAAAAGGTATCGATCCACAGCTAGCTGAAGTCGTCACTTCAGGAGGTGATCAAGATACTTAGCATTGTCTACGGGATAAGCTAGAACCAGTTAGGTCTCATAATCTATTGAAGGGAAGTCGCCTTGCATAGCTATGGTTTGGACAAGTTGGTTTTAGGTCTTTAGACAACAGGAAGGTGGTGTATTGACATAACTATCTACATAAATGACTATGACTATTTATGCTTGCTGGGCACAGGTGAGATATGCTGGTTGAGGAGTCCCAAGCCCCTCAACCCCTATCGCAATGCAGGGATGCATCACAAGGAGGTCCATTCCCTTGACCCCTATATTGGCATCATTGTCAGACGCCGCCGATACGAGGTCAGGTTGACCTCCGACAGTATTGAGACCCTACAACAGAGTTTGTTGGGACCAGTAGAATTACGAACGTACGACAGATCTCGAGGAAACCAGTTAAAGGATGCCTCTTTCACCAATCTCACAATGGGACATACAATGATGACATTGGGTGTCAGAGGTTGCGCGCCTGAAACCTGATATCTGTAGTAGAAACGCGTCTACTATGTTGGAGGTTGGCCCGACCTCGTATCGACGGCGCCATGCCGATATCGCCAATAAAGGGGTCGAGGAGCCAGACCTCCTCACTTGGAGCACCCCTGCATGGTGCATAGGGGTTGAGGAGCTTGGGGCCACTCGAGCGATCTGTCTTGTCTTGTCTTGTTTCACTTAAATAGTCACATCCGTCGCTGTAGATAGTTCATAATACTACCTCTCTCTGATTTGTCTACGAACCTAAAACCAACCAGCCCGTCCAAACCATAGTTACGCAAGGCGACATATCCTTCAACATACTACTGATCTTATCGAGATATGTGGTAAAAGGCCGTTTATTATTATTCTTATTGAAATCTGTCGTAGAAGGCTTCTATGACTTCTCTCGCTCGAATATGTGATATCTTGATTGTTATTGCAGGTTTTGACTGTTGGAGGTCGACTTGACCTCGTGTCGGCGACGTCATGCCGATATCCCGATATAGGGGTCGAGGGGACGGACCTCCTCGTCGTTGCATCCCTGCATCGACATAGGGGTCGAGGAGCTCGGGGCTCCTCGACCAGCGTGTCTCACTTAGTTCCAACAAACATAAATAGTCGCACTCGTTTGTGTAGATAATCGTGCCAATACACATCTCTTCTTAGTTGTCCAAGAACCTAAAACCAGCTCGTCCAAACCATAAGCTACACGAAGCGACGCCACTCTCAACAGCATCGACATAGGGGTCGAGGAGCTCGGGGCTCCTCGACCAGCGTGTCTCACTTGGTTCCAGCAAACATAAATAGTCGCACTCGTTTACTGTAGATAGTCATGTCAATACACCGCTCTCCCCAGTTGTCTACAAACCTAAAACCAGCTCGTCCGAACCATAAGCTACACGAAGCGACGCCACTCTCAACAACGAAGCCGTCGAAGTGATTTCTTTTCTTCATTCAGATGGTGAGAACCAGTCATGGTGACTAGGAGATGATGTGTCATTCCTGAAAAGATTTTTATCGTGTAGAATTCCTCTCAATAGTGAAAGGCAAAAACAAGATTTTTAAGGGAGGGCTTTTGTGACAATTGAAAGGGGTTTACGACTATTGGAAGTAGAGCTCTCAAACCTTGATGATGTTGGAGAGTAACGAACTTGGGTGGTAGGGCACGGTTTGATTGCGGATGACAACGACGGACGGTAAGTACAGATGGATGATTTTTATCTACAGTAGCGGGCGACTAAGTATCGCTTCTTATGTATCTATGCTACGGAGCAGAGCATGACGTGAAACTACAACGGGAGAACTATCTCCTCCCTCCTCCGGCCTCTACTAGCCGGTATGCCGTTGCCTTACCGGGCGACCGGTCTGACACGAGCCGATATACCCGCTGCCCTCTAACAGATGATTCGAGATCAGTTCGTTGTTGAACAGGTGTGGCAAACAATTCAGGGCGGACAAAGGCTTCAGTGGCCTCTAACAGCAAGATACAGTAGCTCCGGGAAAGTCATCAATTTGCGACGAACCAATTTCAAGCTATCGGCAAAGTACTGCTTGTCCTCCGCTGTTGCTGTTGTTCTCACCGCCATCAGCTCGTATTTGCGTTCCGGATCCCAGAGATTCACTTTCGCCAGAAAGAATGGCTGCATTTGTGTCGACCGAATCCCCTCTGGTTCTTTCCAGAGCCACGACCAACGAGGATACTTTAAGTCGTGAAAGTCCCAAGCGGGAAAGAGAAAATATGTTTGACCTTCGTACTTTAAGTGGGACACAGGTGTGCGTCGACGCGGGTCGTAAAGCAGCTCGTCCACCTTGCTTTCAAGGGTCATACGATGCTCTGGAAGGATGGACATGGGGAGGTGGTGGTCGATACCGTGACGTTCGTGAACGAGATAGCGCATGACGGTGTCGGGCACAGAAGTACCGGGATACGGACGAAAAGAGTTGATATGGCTAGTGGCGTCATCGGCTGTAGCTTGTGCGCGACGCCACGCAATATCTGAGCTGGTAGAGCTAATGTGGGTGGGCAGATCTTCGGCGCTAACGATATTGAGAGTCGAGAAGCTCGTAGCTGCCGCGAAAGGGAGGAGCAGAAGAAATGAAATGAGCAACGCAGGCCACACGTTTAGTGGCTGCATGACCATCCTTTTTCGAGCCATTTGATAGTGACGATGGAGATGAGGGCAGGGGAAAAAGCAATCACGCAAGGACTAGGAGAAAGGATGAGAGGGATATAGGGCCTTGAACGGAAGAGGTAGTCGGAAATCTCTGTCCTTATAATGTTTCAGCCTTCTCTTTCACCGATTTGAAGCTGCGACCAATAACACAAAGCACAAACGGGACGGGCGTCGGCCCGAACGGAAACGTTTGCGGCAAAGACAACAGGAGTAAGAACGGCAACTGGTAGGCTACTTCCGGGTTATTGCAAAACAGTCACATGATTTTGAATTAGTACGACTGATGTTGAAGCGAGCGGCGGACTCGAATGGTAGGGCGCAGTTGTAATACGTATGTCGACGGTGAGCGTTATGTTCAAAGGATGAATTGCCAACTGATTTATCGAATAGATCGCTTGAGAAAGCTGCTCGATCCGGAAATGCATCATCTGCACAAAGGTTGGGCCGTTATTGGTGTGTACCCAGCCAAAGATGGAGCACCTCCGAGGATGGAGTGGTATACGTACGCCTCCCATAAGGAGCCGAACGAATTTGATCTCATTCAGAGGCTGAAGGCGTCGGGCGATGTGAAAAAGCTTAGTTACTTTATGACTCACGCGCTTTAGTCTTGTTTAACTCCCTCGTCGCAAGGCATCTTTTGCATCGTGGGACTCACTGAGTAGGATTTGACACTGCTACGATCTCATTCGACGAATTCAATGCCACACCATTCGCATTCCCAGAACTACTGCTGAGTTCATGTAATTTGCCTACTTTCAACAAGATTTGGTGGAGCGGCATGCACTCATGCTTAGCGACCCTCGATCGTCTTGCATATCGAGTCGATGCAGCCTGCTTCGTGGCTTGAGAAGCTCGCCCTAATGAAGGCGTGAGACATTTGGTATTCGCCCTGAACCGGCGAAAGGCCCGCTCGAGCAGTGCTAGCCACCGGCACACACGTCTTAGCATGGGACGCTGGCGGGTGTTTTAGCCCCACCCTCCAGATCATGCTACTTTGAGGACGATAATACTGTGGTGTGTTGGAAGAATGGTAGACTCTTTAAGATAGGGCACGATCGTATTGAGTGCTTTCGACGTTGGAGAGTAAGTACAAAGTGATGGATGATATGAGACGGGGACGAACTAGCTAACTCGGGTGTCTTTTATGCATTTTGGCTCAGTAACCCGTTGACAGTGAGGAGGAGTCTGGATCGTGATGGGGCATAGCAGGAGAGCTCCTTAATGGCGGAGTCCAGTCTCTCGCCAAGGGCTTGGCCATCCCGACAGAAGGTCCCGTCGGAGACATGGATCATTCTGTCGGAAGCTGCCCGACGGAAGCTTATCGTGAAGAAAGCTTATTGGTCGTTCCGTCGGATGCATCGATCATCCCGACGGAAGGCGCCGGTCGTTCCGTCGGCCGCCTGATGCGAGTCGATAGCCCTCCTTCATGGTGTACGTCAGAATGAAAGCGATATAAACCAAGAAATTCGTTTGGACTGGGGGTCGTTCTTCCTTCGTCATGTCTTTCTTTCTCCCAACCGCCTAAGATGCTTTTCTTTATTCTCGCCTGCAGAGTCTTGTTCTGTATGCTCCTATCCGCCTTGCTACATATTAGCTCGGGTTTTGCGACTGGAGACGATGACGGTATACCTCTTTTCAACAGCTTGTCTTTCGAGCCATTTCATGACGAAGTGTGGCCCATTCCTTTTTCGACTGCTCACCTCTCCGTAGCTGCTGCTCCTGATTTTCATTCTCCTTTTCAGACCCCGCCGATGATCACGCATCAAACCGCTGATGTGCCGGGTCCTTCTGTAGTCAACAACTACGCCGGTGGAGAACAGAGACTCACCGTGGTTCCAAAGCTTGGCGAGACTGATTTACATGCATGGGAGCTTTGGCACATTCAAAGGATGCTCAAGTACAGATTGCATCAAGCAAAAATCAATCCTTTCACACTCAGGCTACTTCCTCCAATGCATGATGTTCGACACGTCCATATCGACATCATCCACAAGCAGCTTCAGCTTCAAGTTAACTCGAAGCAGGCTGTATATCTCGGCCCGACCGTCGATCATCAAGGCGAAATAGTTGCGATTCCGATTCATCGAGATGCAGTCAAGGAGGCTGTAATAGACGCTGAGAAGAACGGTAAAGTTGGTTGGGCCATTGTGGGGACCAATTTTGGGCCCCATCCTGCTATTACCTGGTTCTCGTATGCTCTACTTGATGTTCCGGATCGGAAGGCCTTCGTCGATAACCTCAAGAACTCCAATAACGTCAAGGCGTTGAAAAATTTCATTCGACCGGTTGCATCACTGCCGCACTTTTCTTGAAGACCCGATGTTTCCAAGTTGCTACTTCAAAGCACAGCACACGTGAGCACGATATTGATGTAGAATAATGTGTTCACAATCAATATGAAAGGCACTGCGAGTCTCGCGCGAAACAAGGGATGATTTTGTTGAAACGAATGACAGACTCGAATGGTAGGACGCGGTTGTATTACGTATGTCGACGGTGAACGGTATGTACAAACAGATGGATGGGGATACTAACGGAGAACAAACTAACTGAACGTGGTGCTTTTATACGTCTTACCCTGTGGTGACCTGCACCACCGGAAGCCTTCATCAGTCAGAGCTCCGCATCGGCGTTGTTCGGTTCAGGGGTTCGTTTGTAGGATGTCTATGCTTTATGGGCTCGTATCAGGCCGGTTGACGGGATGTCCGATGCTCATATCGGGCCGGATGCCTCCGACTATCCGATGACCATGCCAGGAGAAGATAAGGGCCTGAGCCCTACCGCTGCATGGCCCCTGGCATTTCCCCGTCATGTTTCTGTATCGTCCACAGGTTAGACGCATATAAGCATAAGACTTAGTTGGTTTGTTCTTCATTAGCCCCAGAATTTATCCGCTGTCTGTATATACCGTTCATCGTCGTCACAAGTAATAACCACGGCCTACCATTCAAGTCTGTCATTCGCTCCAACAGGAGCAAGCTGGCGTCTCGAGCTGTTGATCCATTTTTCCAACAGCAGTTCTTGCTATTTAAGCTTTCCAAATGTTTGCTGAAATGATATCAACGCTCAAGAAAATTCATCACCCATGTCATGGGACAGGAGGGATGCGCAGGAAGAATGGAACTCATATGAAGAGATCCTGTGCAACCATCATGGATCAGGCAAAAGTAGAGTTCCGACAGAGTTCAGTGAGATTGGTAGGAACAATGGCTCTATGACATAACTCATTGTGATTGGTAGGAGCATGGGTCTTGTTACAGGAGTAGAATCAGCAGGAGAGTAGAGTTCCAACAGGGATCAGTGAGATTGGTAGGATCAATGACTCTATGACATAACTAGTTATGATTGGTAGGAACATGGGTCCTATTACAGGAGTCAGTAGAATCAGCAGAATCATGCTTGCTACAACAGGCCTCATGGGAGTTGGTTCAAGAGAAACCTCTATCACCAATATGGCAAGGGGACAATCATGAACAAGGGAGGAGTCGCCACCATATGAAGCAGGGACCTGGCACAACAATGAAGTTGGTGCTGGCGACAGGAGGGAGATGAAAGGATGCAAGTCGCCACCCAGATGAAGTGGGAACGGCCCCTGACAATGATGAAGTAGCATGAGGGCCATCCATCCACAGGAAGAGAGGAAAGCAGAGACAACAAAGCAGCAGCACAATGTGGATGGAAAGTGGGGTCATGGGCCTAAATGCTCAGGAAGCAGGAGGGTCACTGGTTCATATGAGAGGGGCACAGGTAGAGATCTAGTCGATACCAGTAGAGAGCATGGTTGTAGTGCAGTCTCCATGGAGACCATGGACTCCTATGGACTCACATGCAAAGGAGCACTGAGCCATATGCGAGGAAGGCCAGGCACAGCCACGAGGAGGACCAAGCTCAAGGAGCAGGCACAGCCACGAAGGGGACCAAGCTCAAGGAGCATGCAGATGGTTACCACTCAGGGGCTCAAGAGACAAGAGTCAAAGGAACTGTCACTGGTCAAAGGAGAAGGAGCAGTGTATAGGACACCAGCAAGCAGGTCCTGAGGAGGAGGAGCAGTGTCGAAGGAGTCGACACCAGGTCATGAGGAGGAGGAGCAGTGTTGAAGGAGTCGACACCACTCAGGAGGCACAGGGGTGCCAAACAAGCAGCAGGATAGCAAGGAGGAGGAGCAGTGTCGAAGGAGTCGACACAGCTCAAGAGGCACAGGGGTGCCAAGCAAGCAGGAGAGGCCCCTGAACAGTACTCGATGAAGAAGGTACTCTCTGGAGAGAGAGCAGGAGCAGCATCGCTGGCAATGCTGTGAAGGGGTATATAACCATGCTTTCTCATCATTAAAGGTTGAGTGGATCCTCATCCACTCTACACATCATCATAACTAGTTATCACTTCAGCATAAGTATATATTAGTTTCAGTCAGCATAGCAGCAATCTATCAAGGTTGCTCCTCATCATAGTGTGTGTGTTGTATCACCACTACCTGATGTCTGAAGGCGCCCCATAGCAGGTTAGCAGTCTGGATATAGATAGAGCCGAAGGCAGTAGTCCACTGCAGTCCAGGGATCACCTCAAGCATCAGTCAACACACTGGACACTCATGTTGACGCCACCAACCTTATCACCAACACCATCAACCTCATTATCATCGACACTCACACCAGACCTTGGTGTCAACATAACCTACACATTGATATTGATTGTGCCGAGCTACCCCTGAACAGAGTGTCCACAGAGGTCAGCCGAAACCTATGATAGTATATACAACAAATGCCACCTGCTGTCACTGCGCAACTTGATAGTCACTGAACGACTAGCTCATCGAGACAGATACCAAGACAATAGCTGTTGCACAGTTTGATAGTCACTGAGTATCTCGACAGACCGACCTGGGTTTCAGGCGCGAGACCCCTGACAAGTGGTAGGAAGGACTAGGAGGAGACATAGGGTTGAGGAGGCCTCACAGAACAGGAGCAGTGTTGCTGGCAATGCTGCAAGGATGATATATAACCATGCTCCTTGTCATAGCAAGTGAGTGGATGGCCATCCACTCTACACCATACATTACTAGCTATAACTTCACATAAGTATACTTAGTATTCCATCAGCAAGTTGCAATCATAATAGGTTGCTTCCATTGTAGCACATGTGCTGTATCACCACTCACTGACATCCAAAGGCAGTATTAACTGTGGTCCAGATAATGATCAACACCAAAGGTGGTTCATAGTAACCTGTGGTCCAGCTCACAATCATAGAACCAAAGGCAGTTGTCCACTGCAGTTCAGGGATCACCTCAAGCACTCAATTGACACTGTGGACACTCATGCTGATGCCAAAAAGCATACTCACACCAGACCTTGGTGTCATCCAATAGTTTCTATAGTTATTGATTGTGCCGAGCTACCTCTGGACAGAGTGTCCACAGTGGACAGTTGAAACCTGCAATAGGAACCAATCTATCACAGATTCAAGCAAGGAAAGTCATAGAGGCCTCTCTATGACATATCTCAACAAGAGCAATAATACACAGCATGTTACCACATATCTTGACAGGATTTGTAATAGACGCTTTTCTTTTACAGGTATTAGGTTTCAGGCGTGAGCCCCCTGACAACCCATTGGGCCAATCGTATAGTGGCTTATTATGCTGTCTTAGGGTGACGCAGGTGTCAGGTTGCATCCACGATTCTAAGTTGACAGAGGTCCCCGGTTCGATTCCGGGTTGGCCCCAATTTTTCTCCATTTTTTGGTGCTTTTTTCACCTTGTTGATTTGTGTTTGAACTGACTTGCTTGACATCATAAGCAACTCTTTCTCCTTCAATTTACCAGATGAAACCCATCATATCGAAGCAATGTCGATCATCAAACAGTATGATTGTGCTCATACTCTTTTCCTTTGGTTGCCAGAGAAAGATTTTCGTGAACACATTATTTTGGGGGTTTTTCTTTTTCTTTCCCCACCTTTTTTTTTGGCCTTGAAATTTTCTGTTTTCCTTCCTTTTGTATCGATTCCACTTCTTTTGTTGCTTTTTGAACAACAGTGCTGTTCATTGTCCCAACAGCAATAGCAACGAACGTGCACCCAAGCAACACTGCGAAATTCTTCTGCTCCTTATCAGAAGTCACTAAAGTTGAAGATTAAAGCTGCACGGCACTGCCTCGTAGAGCTACGTTCTAGCTCTTATTGCACAGGTGTATGATAACTGCAATACTTAAGATTTCTTGTGAACTATTGTTATGAAATTGCTTGTTTATATACAGTGTCAAATGTCCATGAGAAACCCTACCATCACCCCACTAGCTATGTACACCACATGTTGCCTTGGTGTTGTCACCCACAAGTGTCTCCTAATTGGTCACCACACATTGACCATGCATGTGTCATGGGCCTGGATGCTCAAGAAGCAGGGGGGTCACGGGTTCATATGGAAGGAGCACAGGTATCGAAGATCTAGTCGAGACCAGGAGAGAGCATGGTCGTAGTGCAGTCTCTATGGAGACCATGGACTCCTATGGACTCACATGCAAAGGAGAACCGAGCCACATGCGAGGAGGGCCGGGCACAGCCACAAGGAGGACCAAGCTCAGATGGTTACCACTCAGGGGCTCGAGAGACAAGAGTCATAGGACACTGGCAAGCAGGTCCTGAGGAGGAGGAGCAGTGTCGAAGGAGTCAACACCAGGTCATGAGGAGGAGGAGCAGTGTCGAAGGAGTCGACACCACTCAAGAGGCACAGGGGTGCCAAGCAGGAGAGGCCCCTGAGCAGTACTCGATGAAGAGGGTACTCTCTGGAGAGAGAGCAGGAGCAGCATCGCTGGCGATGCTGTGAAGAGGTATATAACCATGCTTTCTCATCATCATAGGTCGAGTGGATCCTCATCCACTCTACTCACCATATAACTAGTTATCACTTCAGCATAAGTATACATTAGTTTCAGTCAGCATAGCAGCAATCTATCAGGGTTGCTCCTCATCATAGTGTGTGTGTTGTATCACCACTACCTGACATCCGAAGGCGCCCATAGCAGGTTAGTGGTCCGGATATAGATAGAACCGAAGGCAGTAGTCCACTGTGGTCCAGGGATCACTTCAAGCATCAAGTCAACACACTGGACACTCGTGTTGATGCCACCAACCTTACCACCAACACCATCAACTTCATTATCATCAACACTCACCAACCTTATCACCAACGTCATCAACCTCATCATCATCAACACTCACACCAGACCTTGGTGTCATCATAACCAAAGCATTGATATTGATCGTGCTGAGCTACCCCTGAACGGAGTGTCCACAGAGGTCAGCCGAAACCTATGATAGTATATCCAATGAATGCCACCTGCTGTCACTGCACAATTTGATAGTCACTGATACTGAGACAATAGCTGTCGCACAGTTTGATAGTCACCGAGTATCTCGACAGACCGACCTGGCTTTCAGGCGCGAGACCCCTGACAGCATGCACATCCCTTGGTCTCTTGGCAACTCGGCTTCCTCAGACCTTGGCTAAACTCCTGGTAATTCCGTCACAACTTCAACTACTAACAGTTAAAGATGCAACGGAATTACCAGGAATTTAAACATGACCTCGGTGTCATCACAAAGTATCTATTGGTTATTGATTGTGCCGATGTTGAAGTACATGCATCAAATATTGTTGATCACAAGTATCGATTGCGATGATGATCATATCTAAGTACATGACAATGCTAGAGTATATATATGCCTTGACATCCTGTGTATTTGTGTTCTTACACAATAGTGATGAGGACAAGGTTCAGCATGGAGATTACAGAGATATATGTTGGCTATCTACTGCACAGTGCTCTAAAGCCCAATAGTTGTCGTGGTGTCCAATGGCCGAAACTCTAAAGTCTGGTGGTCAGCCTGGGGGTGTGTATATACTCGAGTAAGCGAAGTTGTCATTTGTGTGAAATTGGAGCTAGGTGTCATGGGCCTGGGTGTGCAGAACGAGGAAAGACCGAAGTTCATATGAAGGTAGCACAGGAATCGTGGAATTGGGTAGATCATAGGAGCTGCAACAGAGTTCACCAAGATCGGCAGTAGAATCAGCTCTATGGCAAATTGCAGCAAAATCAGCATGAGCATCATCGATATCATGAATCCCACCAGAATCTGCAGCAAGCGAGATCATGTGGCAGATTCCACAGAGATTGGTAGTAAGGATGTCCATATGATGATTCACACATGAGAGAGACTGAGCTCAGTGACATGTGGCTGGTTACCACTCAGGGGCCCACAGGACAGGAGTAAAAGAGAACCATTGCTGGTCAGAGGAAGGAGAGCTGTGTAAAGGACACTGGCAAGAGGGACATGAAGAGGAGGAGCAGTGTTGATGAAGTCGACACAGCTCAGAAAAGACAGGAGGGACAAGGCTTGATATGGAGGAGGGGCCTCCTTGGAGATCCCTGTACAGTACTTGACAAAGAGGGTACTCTCTGGAGAGAGAGAGCAGGAGCAGTGTCGCTGGCAATGCTGTGAAGAGGTATATAGTCATACCTCCTCATCACAAATGGTCGAGTGGATCCTCATCCACTCTACTCACCATATAACTAGTCAATACTTTAGAAACATAAGTACTCATTAGTTTTCAGTCAGCATAAGTTGCAATCACTAGATTGCTCCTCATCGAAGCATGTGTGTTGTATCACCATTTCCTGATGTCTGAAGGCAGTTCTTAGCAAACCAGCAGTCTGGATAACAATAGAACTGAAGGCAGTTGTCTACTGCAGTCTGGGGATCACTTCAAGTGTTAGTCAACACACTGGACACTTGTGTCGGCATCATCAATCCATACTCACACCAGACCATTGGTGTCAACATCAAGTTCACTTAGAGTCATATCGTAGTTTGATTGTGCCAAGCTACCTCTGGATGGAGTGTCCACAGTGGTCAGTCAAAATCTGTCATAATGTCAATACAACTACAGATTCCAACAAGAAAAGTGGCAGAGACAGCTCTGTTGCATATTTCACTAGGAATCGAAATACCATTAGCACTGTCACATAACTCGACAGAATCAGTGATAGTATCAATACTACCACAGATCTCAGGTTTCAGGCGCGCGACCTCTGACACTAGGGTCACATGCTCGGAGAAACTGCATTCCCGGAGCAAAGGGTCACGTGCTTTCACTGCTGAGCTACCTCTGAGCGGAGTGTCCCCAGTGGTCAGTCGAAATCCGCAATAGAAATCAGTCATGACATATTTGAGTGAGAAAAGTCATAGAAGGCTTCTACAACAGATTTCAGCAAGAATAATAATAAAGGCCTTTTACCACAGATCTCGATAGGATCAATAGTAGTTGTCTTTCTACCACAGATTTCGGGTTTCAAATGCGCAACCTCTGACAAATTTCAAGCATTCAAGAAGTAAAACGCCAGTGAACAGGAGCTTGCTAGTAGCTCAGGACATCATATTGTACTTATGATCTTCAATTGATTAATAGTCTGAAGCTCTATCGACCGAGCTAAGGAGCCCCATTGACAACCATGTGTTACGGGATCGGGAATCAGGTAACCAAACCGAACATAGTGAGCAGTAAAACCACTACACCAGCTAGATGTCAGGGGTCTCGCGCCTGAAACCCAGGTCGGTCTGTCGAGATACTCGGTGACTATCAAACTGTGCGACAGCTATTGTCTCGGTATCGGTGACTATCAAGTTGTGCAGTGACAGCAGGTGGCGTTCGTTGTATATACTATCGTAGGTTTCGGCTGACCTCTGTGGACACTCCGTTCAGGGGTAGCTCGGCACGATCAATATCGATGTTATGATGACACCAAGGTCTGGTGTGAGTGTTGATGATGATGAGGTTGATGGTGTTGGTGATGAGATTGGTGATGTCGATGATAATGAGGTTGATGGTGTTGGTGATAAGGTTGGTGGCGTCAACACGAGTGTCCAGTGTGTTGACTTGATGCTTGAAGTGATCCCCGGACTGCAGTGGACTACTGCCTTCAGTTCTATCTTGATCTGGACCGCTAACCTGCTATGGGTGCCTTCGGATGTCAGGTAGTGGTGATACAACACACACACTACGATGAGGAGCAACCTTTGATGGATTGCTACTATGCTGACTGAAACTAATATATACTTATGCTGAAGTGATAACTAGTTATGGTGAGTAGAGTGGATGAGGATCCACTCGACCTATGATGATGAGAAAGCATGGTTATATACCTCTACTCAGCATCGCCAGCGATGCTGCTCCTGCTCTCCCTCTCCAGAGAGTACCTTCTTCATTGAGTACTGCTCAGGGGCCTCTCCTGCTTGGCACCCCTGTGCCTCTTGAGCTGTGTCGATTCCTTCGACACTGCTCCTCCTCCTCATGACCTGATGTCAACTCCTTCGACACTGCTCCTCCTCCTCATGACCTGATGTCGACTCCTTCGACACTGCTCCTCCTCCTCATGACCTGGTGTCAACTCCTTCGACACTGCTCCTCCTCCTTTGATCAGTGACAGTTCCTTTGGCTCTTGTCTCTCGAGCCCCTGAGTGGTAACCATCTGCATGCTCCTTGAGCTTGGTCCTCTTCGTGGCTGTGCCTGCTCCTTGAGCTTGGTCCTCCTCGTGGCTGTGCTTGGCCCTCCTTTGCATGTGAGTCCATAGGAGTCCATGGTCTCCATGGAGACTGCACTACGACCATGCTCTCTACTGATCTCGACTAGATCTTCGATACCTGTGCTCCTTCCATATGAACCCGTGACCCTCCTGC